ATTCATTCATTTTCCAGATTCAAGTCCAAAGCTGACGCTTCAAAGAGAACAGTAATGCCCATAAAATAAAAAGACAATTCAACCTCTCTCTGCTTCCTGATCATTAGTAAGCTGCTTTCCTCTGCCACACTCTTCCRCCATGTTATTCCTGTCTCTCCTGGGGCCCTGAGGAATGGAGCTGGCTGTCTGTGGATCTGAAACCTGGCTAGAACACAGATGTAAGGGATAGAGCAAGAAGAAATTAAACCATGAGATATAAGCCATGTTTAATGGCGGAATATCAAGGAGCTTTGGGGGGTTACCTCATAATCAATCCACAACAACACTCAATCTTGGAAATGACAGTTGAAGGAGAGACTGAGGAAAATCATTTGAACTCTRTACTCTCAGTGAAGGAGAATTACTAATGATTTGTTTTGAAAATTTAAAAAAAAAAAACAAGAAATTCAGCATATATAAACCATTCCCTCCAATCAAGAAACCCTAAAATATTTTTTTGGATATAAACAATGTAAAAAAATATGAATTTTAGTGGATTCTCTTTCATATTTTGTTCAAAATCAAGTCAATGATTTGAYTGACAAATTACTTTTTCCCTATACACATAGAAAATATCTTGCTGGAATTGTCATGACAACAGGAACATATGTTAACATGTCAACCTTGCAAGTGTTTCTAGAAAAAAATATTAATGTATAATACATTGATGAACATAGTAATGATTTAAATGAAAATATAATGAATAAAAATATATCTCAAAGACTCTTGCTAAAATTTCTGAATATAAACTTTGACTTTCATTTAAATAATAAAAGTAATCAAAATAAATCCATTTTCTAGTAATAAGAATGACCACAAATTTAACAGAAAATGCTCATATTCTTATGTGTCTAAGCCCACTAGTACTGCTCTTACAACATACACAAGATTGGATCATTTATAAGTAATAATAATTTATTTTCTCACAGTCCTATGGACTAGGAAGTCCAAGAATAAGTTAGTATCAGATTCAATTTTCTGGTGAGGCCTACTCTTAAGGAACACAGAAGAGTAAATTGACCAAATGATAAATAAAGCCTTTTTGGATATCACAATACCAGACTTTAAATTATACTACAGAGCTATGGTAACAAAAATGACATGGTATTGGCACCAAAAGAGACCTCAAGACCATTGCTACAGAATAGAAACACGGAGACAAACCAACTTATGTACAGTTCCCTCATACTAGACAGTCATCAAAAACACACATTGGAGAAAAGATAACCTCTTCAACAAATGGTACTGGGAAATCTGGAAATCCATATGTAACAGAATGAAAATAAATCCTTGTCTCTCGCTCTGCACAAAACTCAACTCAAATTGGATCAAGGACCTAGGCATTAGACCACAGTCTTTGTGCCTACTAGAAGAAAACATAGGCTCAAATCTCCATCATGTTGGCTTAGGAACCAAATTCCTAAACAAAACTCCTAAAGCTCAAAAAGTAAAATCAAGAATCAACCAATGKGATTGAATCAAACTAAAAAGCTTCTTCACTGCAAAGTAAACAGCCAAGAATGTGAAGAGAGAGCCTACAGAAGGGGAGAAAATCTTTGCCACTTGTACCTCAGATATAACATTAATCTCCAGGACATACAAAGAACTCAAAAAACTTAACCAATCAATAAATGGGCAAAGGAACTGAACAGACACTTCACAGAAGAAGAAATACAATCTRTCAATAAATACATAAAAAATGTTCAACATCTCTAGCAATTAGAGAAATGCAAATTAAAACTACATTGAGATTCCACCTCACTGCAGTCAAAATGGCAATTATCAAGAATACAAGTAACAAATGTTGGCAAGGATGTGGTGAAAAAGGTACACTCGTATATTGCTGGTGGGACAGCAAATTGGTGCAACCATTCTGTAAAGCAGTATGGAGATTTCTCAGGAAACTTGAAATGAAATCACCATTTGACCCAGTTATCCCACACCTGGGCTTATACTCAAAGGACTTAATCAGCATTCTATGTTGATGCAGCTGCATCAATGTTTGTAGCAGCTTAATACATAATAGATAAGCTATGGAACCAACCTAGGTGTCCTTCAACAGATGAATGGATAAAGAAAATGTGGTATATAGAATGGAATAATACTCAAACATAAAGAAGGATAAAATTATGGCACTTGCTGSTTAATGGATGGAACTGGAGAGTATCATGGTAAGTGAAATAAGCCAATTCCTAAAAACCAAAGGCCGAATGTTCTCTGATAAGCAGATGCTAATTTGCACWAAGCAGAGGGAAGGGAAGAAAGGGAAGAATAGAATTTCATTGGATTAGACAAAGGGGAATGAAGAGAAGGGAGAGGGGAATAGGAATAAGAAAGACAATAGAATGAACTTTTCCATTTCCTTATATAAACACATGACCAGTGTAACTCCACATCACGTTCAACCACAAGAATTGGAAATTATACTCCACATATGTATGATGATATGTCAAAATACATTCTATTGTTACGTATAACTAAAAAGAACAAATATAAAATTTTAAAAAAGAAAAAAATTCAAAACTTATCTTCAGGCAGGCAGAAATGATATTTGAATTCAGATGACTATTTCCTGCATATTGTCCTAATATGATTACTAACATCAGGATAATCAACTAAAATTAAATAGGCTGAGGAAACAATGTGCCAAAAACACATTTTTAAAAGCACAGTGGGAGGGCTGGGTTGTGGCTCAGTGGTGGAGCACTTGCCTGGCATGTGTGAGGCCATGGGTTCGATACTCAGCACCACATGAAATTAAATAAATAAAACTATAAAGGTATTGTGTTCATTTACAACCAAATAAATAAATAAAACTAAAAGTATTGTGTTCATTTWAAAAAAAAAAAAAGCACAGTGGGAGTTGAACCCCAAAATTTTCTCGGGAAAACTTATGCAAAAGCTTAATGAGTTTTATATTATGAAATGTACCATTTATTAATTACCTGCCAAATTTTGCTTAGGTMTTTTTATTCTATGCAGTCTGAATGTTTCCCATTGGTATCAATTGCATTTAYACTTCTTGTTCTCACTCTGGTAAAGTACCATCTTGACAAAGTCAGCTTCCACAGCTAACCTTAAGTCAACTCATGATAATAATTCCTTTTACCATGGATTAATGCCCATGAGCAGTTTAAAAATAGAGAAATATAGCTGGGCATGGTGGCACATGCCTGTAATTCCAGCAGCTCATGAGGCTGAGGCAGGAGGATCACGAGTTCAAAGCCAACCTCAGCAAAAGCAAGGTGCTAAGCAACTCAGTGAGACCCTGTCTCTAAATAAAATACAAAATAAGGCTGGGGATGTGGCTCAGTGGTTAAGTGCTCCTGAGTTCAATCCCCAGTACAAAAAAAAAAAAAAAAGAGAGAAATATTTTTGAAGTGCCTGTAACCTAAACAATTGGTCTCTGGAAGGCATTTGTATACTGAATCTAAAAAATTAAGTATTAACTACAAAAAACTATGATTTGAGATAACCCAAAAATAAACTGTATTTTTCATCATTACAAAAATTTTAATGCACAGAAAGAGAAAACTTTGCTCCACTTTTTTCTATCTTCCTACAGGTGGTAGCAAAACTTGTTTTTTATTTATTTATTTTTTCTTTTTCTTTTTTGCAATACTGAGGATGAAGCCCAGGGCTTCCCCACACTAGGCAAGCACTCCATCACTGAGCAATAKCCCTACCTAGTCTGTGTGTATTCTTACACATTGAGAAACACACCTGCAATGAGTACAATATTCTTTGATATGACACTAGATAGAAACCCTGGGAGACTGTAATGTCTACATTYTTCACACTCTCTTAGCAGACAGTAAGTCCTCAGTAAATTAAGATATCATCATAACCATCACTTAAGGCACTGAAGAATAATTACTGAAATGGTGGCCTAAAAAAGTGACTCTACCTCGCCTAAAATTCCAATGTTTTGCCAGGCACAGTGGCACACGCCTGTAATCCCAGCAGCTCAGGAGGCTGAGGCAGGAGRATCGTGAGTTCAAAGTCAGTCTCAGCAAAATAAATGGGCTAAGCAACTCATGAGACCCTGTCTCTAAATAAAATACAAAAAGGACTGGGAATGTGACTCAGTGGTTGAGTTCCCCTGAATTCAAAATTCAATCCCCAGTACCAAAAAAARRAAARRAAAARRAAAARRAAAAAAWTYCMAWWMYTTTTTTTTTTTAAAGCCAAAATTATAATTAAATCTGTGGTAGTTTTACCAATACACACTAGGATAGCTGTAACATACTAAAAAACTAATGGTTATTTGGTAGTTTGAGAAGACTCTACTCTTGTAGCTATACCCAAACTGAAGTTAAACTCGAAAGGAAAATTATATGAAATTCCTCAAGTTTGGAAAAATATTTTCTATTGTAATGTAAGATTCTATTTTTTATTTTTACTTTTTTGCAGTACTGGGAAATGCTCTACCACTGAACTATATCCTTAATTCTTTTTTATTTTATTTGAGACAGGGTTTTGATAAGTTGTTGAGGGTCTCGCTAGGCTGCCCAAGGCTACCCTTGAACTTGGTGATCCTCCTGCCTCAACCTCCCAAGTCACTGGGATTACAGGCACGGGTTATTGCACCTGGATAAAACTGTATTTTTAAATGGAAAAGTAATGATTAAGAAATAATTATTTCTGTATAATAAATACAAATTTGCCCACCTACTTGTCAGGTATGAAAGTAGCAACATAAGCCCAGCACAGTGGCACATGGCCTGTAATCCCAGAGACTCAGCAGGTTGAAGCAGGAGAATCAAAAGTTAAGGACAGCCTGGGCAACAAAGTGAGACCCCATCTCATTAGGGGGRAAAAAAAAGCAGTATAAGAAATATAGATAAATCTAAATAGACTATKCCAGAAGAGTAAAGAATTTCATAAAAAGTTACTTTATTATCAGAACAGTATGGTTTCCTATGTTTAAGATTTATTTATTATGTTATTTTTACAAGTAGCAAAGTCCCTCCATTTTTTTCCAGGTGAATATACATGAATATAAAAAGCTGCTGATTTCCACACTGTCCACTCCTACCCCACCCATTAGGGTCACTGGGAAGTTGTGGCCTTTGAGCAGCCTCCTGAATAGTCATGGATTCCTCTTTAACTTGGTCTTGGAACTAGCACTCAGTCATCCTCTTGCTGATTTCTTTTCTGTCAAAGGAAACCAAGAGTACACTGAAAAAGCATATTCTGATTGGGATATTTCTTCAGCCAAGATCATTGTTTCTGTCAGCAATCCAATTTTCCAAAGGCCTTAATAAAACCTTTGGTTGGAAATTTTCACAGAAAAATATGCTTTAACTAATTCAATAAGCTAATTTATCACTCTGGATCCTGGGTTAACTGCCCTCTTCTTTTTCATCCCTATGTAYATATACTCCCACACAGAAACAAACTTAGAAATACAAATATCACATTCCCCTTGAGAATCCACAGCAGAGACATCTCATAGTCCTGTGACAACATACCTACTTTACAGTTAGAAGTATTATGAATATTTTTCAAAAAGCATGCATATCATGAAAAAATTTTCTGCCATTCTAACCAATAAATATTCATTCCTTCACTCATATTCCATTGCAAAATGATGTAATCCAGTAATTCTAATCCTTTAATTGATAATCATCCAATAAAAGCTCATGGGAGAGATGAGCAGCATAATAAATATACATATACTTTACCAGCTTAAGAAAATCTATTAGTTTGTGAGCATCTTCCCCAGTGGAGAGGTCTACAAAATCCTTGGGTAGTCGGTAGCTCAGATAGGGACTGGGCTGTACTGTAACTTCACTGTTTGTGCAACGAAAAGCTGGAGAATCCTTTATGAAGAAAAAATTTAAAAAGGAAAGTCTGTAAGTATTATCTATTCTCCAAACTAAGCTAGCATATAAATTTCAATTCCATGTTATCTTCTTTACTACATAAGAAAGAAAATAAGATTCTAAAGTAGAAGAATGCACCAAGATTCTAAAATAATTCTACATATTCACTAGAAAGTAAGTATAAGGTATCTGAAAACAGTATCCAATGGAGAACTAGGTCCCCCACTAAATGCTACCACAGTGTAGCCACTGTAGGCGAAAGGTAGGTTATGGATCTTGTGACCCCTCAGTGGACTGAGGACCCCAGCCATCTCTGGCCTCAAGCAATCTCATATAGACCAGAATACTTATAAATATTATTTCCTATAGGTGTACAGTTAAGAAGTACTATTTTAGAAAATAATAATAATAATTAATAATGAGGGTAATTGAGTGCTTTGGATTTCATGTCACTTTTGTACTTAGACCACTGGACTTACTATCTCTCTCTCATCAATTACATAAAAATTCAAGAATCATAATTTTAAAAATCCTCATATTCATTTCTTACTGTAATTCTTTTGCTTAGAGTTTTGCATAATAGTTACATGYTGTTTTGTACCAAAAAGAATTTCAGAGACAAGAGGCCTTGGGTTTGGCTTCTTGGTGTCAGATAACTCAGTGGAGATGGAAGACAAGCTGGGTCTTCCTAGAAGACCTAGAAAGAGGGTCATATCTGATGACAGACAGAACATACTTGGCAGCTAAAACATCTACTGTGTGCTAGAATTGTTCTAGGTGTAGGAGACAAACTGGTAAACAAGATTGGAAGGCAAATAAGAGTAAGTAAACAAAACCATTTCAGATAATAAAAACTGCTATGGGGCTGGGGATACAGTTCAGGTGGTAGAGGGCTTGTCTTGCATGCACAAGACACTGGGTTCAATCCCTAACACCACACACACACAAAAAAAAAAGAAAATGAAAAGAAGAAAGGGCTATGGAAACAAAGAACCAGGGTGATGTACTAAGAGGATAACAATATGGACTACTTCAGATGAATGGTAAGGTAGGAGTTTGCTGAGAAGTGGACAGGGTGGTGAAAGCAGCCTTGCAAGTCTGGGTGCAGAGCAGGCTCTGGTGGCTGTGGAAAAAACTAGTGCAAATACCTCAACCCAAAGTAGGGCTTCATAGCTTTGCAAAACAGAGGGAAGACCGGTTCTCTGTGGTCTGAACTTGGAAAGACCAAGCAGGAGGAGACAAGCTGGGAGGAKCCAGGAACCAGGTGCTGTTTCCATTTTGTATACCCTTAACCTCTACCATTTAGAATAAATAAAAACTTTGGATCAGAGTTAATCTTACACAATTAACATCTGTACCGAATAACTTAGATTCTCCTTCCTTATCTTTAGGTTTAATGGTTCACTACAATTATATACCAGTAGGGATAAAATTCCTCCTTTTTTTTTTTTTTTTTTTTTTAGTACCAGGGATTGAACCTAGGGGTGCTTAACCACTGAGCCACATCCCTAGCCCTTTTTTAAAACTTTTTATTCTGAGACAGGGTCTTGGTAAGTTGCTTAGGACCTCGCTGAGTTGCTGAAACTGGCTCTGAACTTGCAATTCTCCTGTTTCAGCCTCCTGAGCCATTGGGATTATAGGCATGTGCCCGGCCAAATTCCTTCATTTTTAATTGGACAGCATTCATAGTACCTGACATTTTGGTAAGTCCTGCAGCTGCATTGAGAACAGAAGAGACATTATCCCTGTTCTCAGAAACTTACTGTCTAATGAAGAACATAAGTAAATCAGCAAGCAATTTGAACAGTAAGGCCAAGTTCCAAATATTGAACTAACTAAGAGCTGGAAAAACAGGGCCAAAGAGGGTCCAGGACAAAGCAAGATGAAAGGAAATGTTGGATAGATGGGCAAAAGATGTACTCAGTGAAGGTGCAGAAGCAACTTAAAAAAGCAGAAAGAGATGGAAGAGGAGAGCACGCGTTCCAGAAGCCAGGGAAGAAGCCRTGTAACAAGGAAGATGGCACTGTATTTAGTACTACCAAGTGGTTCAGTAAAAGGAGGACTGTGCTAGTCACTGCAATTCCCAGCAAACCATTAGAGCCCCTGCTGGGAGCAGGTTCTGCTGAGACAGTGGCAAAAGCCACTGGCAGAGGGCTGAGGAGTATGAACACCAACAGGCAGGAAGGAGACCACCATCCATAGAACCCTGATGTGTGATACACAGCCACTGAGTGGGCTAAGAAGAACAAGTCCTGTGACAGCATGAGGGCAACTATTATGCTCCTACCTATTCAAAAGTCTATGTGCATATTCATACCAAAAAGAGCCTGGAAAGCACTTGCTGAAGTGGTGAGGATTTCAAGCACTGCCTCTAATTCTGTTTTCTTAAATGATTATGTAAAACATAAACTATATTTTTAAAAGATACGCTCACTAGATAAACTAAATTATACTACTGGCTGCTCTCAATATTCCTGCCTCAGCCTCCCAAATTGCTGGGATTACAGGACCCAGCCACTGCACCCAGCTAAACACACATTTTTTAAAAGAAAATCAGGGGCTGGGGTTGTGGCTCAGTGGTGAGCACTTGCCTAGCATGTATGAGGCACTAGGTTCAATTCTCAGCACCACATGTAAATAAGTGAATAAAATAAAGAGCCATCTATGTCTAAAAAAAAAAAATTAAAAAAGAAAAAAAATCATAAAATCATCTATGATCCTAAAATATGAGAACCACCATTTATATTATGGTGTATAACATGCATATACACATACACTCCTTAAGGTCGCCAGCCTAGGCAACTTAGTGAGACCTTGTCTCAAAAACAAACACACACATTACTTTTATAGGCAGAAAAAAAAAACACAAAATCGTTGTTTAAAAAAAATATAGCTGTGAAGATGGGAGAAAAGAAGAGTGGCTGGGTGAGCAAATATGGTTGAAGAAAGCTCTTTTTTTTTTTTTTTTTTAAGGTGGGAGATATCTGAATATGGCTAGATCCTGAGGGTCAGGAGTTAATAGAAAGAGAGAATCTGAAAAAATAGTACAAGAGATGGAGGGGGTGCTGAGCTGAGTAGATAAAAAAAAAATCAGATTTGGAGAAGGGAAGCTAAGTCTGTAGGTCTGATGAAAATTCAACCAGGTGAATTCTCATGAGTGGATTTTCTTTTCCTACGAAGGAAGTGAAAGGACAGGAGGGAGAGTAGTGACAGATGGGAGTTCTGAGCAGGGAGAAGATGCGGATTAGCCCCCAAGGACCATGGAAGAGAAAGCTGACCAGGAAAACTCATAAAACTGGAGGTCATGAATGAGAAGAGGCACTGCTCTGCTCATGCATATAGGCGAGTGTTCTCCATCAGCATCAAGCAGCTAGGATTTGGGTCAAGTAAACAGATGTGTCAAGATTCTTCAGGTGGGCATAACAGAGGGAACTAAAAAAGAGAAAACAAACTAGAAAAATATATATCAGACGACTATTATTTCTTTAAAGTTAAATGAATGAGGGACCAGGATATAGTAATGGTAAACACTTGCTTTAGTATATGCAAAGTCTTGGGTTTGATCCCCAAGATGGCCAAAAAAAAAAAAAAAAAAAACAGTTACATGAATGAATCACAATGTATACCTTTCTTTGATCACCTCCATGAGCAAGTAACTATTGGTATCCTGTGCTATACTCTACTTCCCAAGGGTACAAGTTACTTATATGCCATGTGTCTAAAGAATAAGCAAGTGATTGTTCAGTGGATTTAAAAGGTTGTCTTTATATCTTAAAAAATAAAGTCTTACCTGCTCCTGAGCATCTCCTTCACTAAAATCACCTTTTAAGTTTTTTCCAGATATTAGTTCTTCCCAAGTAAACAGTAGTGAATCTGTGACTTCACCAAATGGATTAAAATCAATTAGCCACACCTTCCCCTGTAGTACAGACAAAAGACAAATAAGTATAAAATAAGAACACAATCTATACTGTCTTATTAAAGGAAGATATTTTTGATATTTTCTGTCAAGGTCAATCTTACAAATTATGACTTATTTCAAAAGATATAATTCTTCCAGGTCTCATCTGAGAAAGGGCCATTTTTCTAAATAAAGTAGACACAGATCTAAAGGGAAGGTTGCCTATGATTGCAGAGAGAAGGGACTCAGGAAGGAAGACCTATCTTCCAACTCCTGCCTCAAGACACATTAGTATTTTAAGTCAAAAATCCAAGCAGGAAAAAAGGAAGATCTCGCAAAAAGTTCACTTGCCATACATGGTATGAATAAAATGCTTTCCAGGATGTCTTCAACGCCACTGCCAGCAGAAGCAGGCAGGRAGTTGGTGGCTCTCAGAGCACCTGAAAGGTTTTGGGCAGCTGCTGTGAGTGGATTTAAAAAGAAATACTAAAGGAAGTATGGAAATACTGCTTTCTTTAAAAGTTAACATAGTATTTGTTTTTTAAGTATGACAAAGCTTGACAGCATATGAAAAGGAGATGAAAAAATACATCCACCTTTGAAAGAAATGTCTCCTATCTGGTCAGACTGCCTGGGCTAGAGTCAGGTGCATGTGAGCCGGAACTGGCCAGCTCTGAGCTAACAAGTGRGAATGTGTGTAAGCCCCCAAGAAACCAGAACCACATGCTACATCACTAAGATAAGGCGTGCAGAATGGATAGACCCTTCCTTGAAGTTTTTATCTTTGCTACTCTTGGTTTTCTCACTGGCATTCATATATGTGCACTGTTTTGATGCTAATAATAACTAGGTTTTTGTCTATAATGTACAGATGCCACATCTTGACCAGATGTGTGTGTGTGTGTGTGTAAAATCAGACACTCGTAAGGAGTGAAACTGGTGAGCCTCTCACAGTTCCTCACCTGGATTAAAGCAAAATTATAGCAAAGATGAGACATCTCACTAGCACTTGCTTCAAATGTCAGAAACCTCTAGTGACACAGAACAAATACAAGACATTTGTACCATGGGTCACATGGGTAAAGTTCTGATCTTATATAATTCCCAGGAAAAATCCTACAGATTATCTTGCCGCTTGTTTGCTCACTTCAGTTCAGCTCACTTCAGTTGTGCTAGAGATTGAGCTATAAGGATCAGTATTACACAGAATCTATTCCTTCAATGAGCTCAGCCTAGATTAGAATCCCACCCYGTCCCCCCAAAAAAACATGAAAACCAACCAATGGTTACAACACAGAGGATACATTCTTGGTCATGTGAAATAATATTAGCTATCAATTAATATTTTGACATGCTGTCAGCTTGTTTGGGGGCTCTATTACTGATATATTATTATACTGTATATTATTTTTACAATGGATATTTTCTAACCTCCAAACCCTCTCAACTGGATTTTCTTTTCTTTTCTCTTCTTTTTTYCTTTCTTTCTTTCCTTTCCTCCCTCCCTCTCTCCCTTCCTTCCTTCCTTCCTTTGTGCTAGGGATTGAATCCAGACCCTTGTGCTTGCAAGGCAAGTGCTCTACCATTAAGCCACAATCGAAGTTCCTCTATTGACTTTTTTAACAAATAAAACCACCTCATTATTAAAAGCAACAAAACCCCACTATTGTATCTGTTAGTATAGGAGCTGAGCTTTATGAACTAAAACATGCCACACTGTAAAAAACAAAACTAAGAAACAAACTACCATTGTTAGCTGGCAAGATTTGCTCTAGAGTTCAGAAGCCATCCTCTAGTTCAAAATAATAAAATCAAACTGGCTATAGTCAGGCATAAAACTATGAGAATTAGGATTTTATASTGGCAACATGTTTTTCATGGATATCTCAGGCACAAGGCATCCTGAGAAAGTAATTCTATTTCAGTAAGTCTGATAAGAGCAGTCAACCCAGTATTCTTCATACCAACCAAATGACCATCAGCCCAAATCAATCACTTCTGTGAATCAGACATTGTGCTAGAGATTGAGCTATAAGGATCAGTATTACACAGAATCTATTCCCCCAACGAGCTCAGCCTAGATCAGAATCCCACCCGGTTCCCCCAAAAAACATGAAAACCATCCAATGGTTACAACACAGAGGGTACTGCTCTTAGGAGCAAGAACAGGGTGTTGAAAGACAACAGAGGAGCATGGGGGAACCTGACTGGAAACACTTTCAAAGTTAACTGGGAATTTAAAGAATAATTGTGTTGAAGATCTGGGAGGGGAGGGGAGGATGAAAGGAAAAGCAACCATTTAGGAGGAAAACAACCAGAACAATAAAAATTAACACATACAAAGACTATGTGAGGATGACCCATTCTGGGAATAGATTATTTTGGCTAAGAGTATGAAATATATGAGGGCTCCATAAATGTGGTGGGCTAAGGTAACTTTAAAAGCCTTCTGCTCCAAGCTGGATGAAATTCAGGTTAAAATTATCCTTTTAAATGTAGAGCTGTGATCATGACAAAGAGGAATCCCTAGGAATTAGAAGAGAAGAACATTAAGAAAACAGATGAGTATAAACTGAGCTGCCAGCGCCCTTGGGACAACYTTCCTCCCAGGAACCCAGGGCACAGGTGTTACTAGCACACAGGACTAGGAGACTGGCCATGAGGAAAGGACTTAGGATTAGGAAGTGATGCCAGAAGGCTATGACATGTGAAGAGAGCATAAGAAAAAAATTCTAATGACGGGAACAGGAAATAATGATGTCTTTCTCTGATGAGGTTTTGGGGATCACAGGAGAAACAAATGGAAAATTCAAACTTTAGGATCTTTGGGATGCAGCAAAAAAAAAAAAAAGGAAAGGAAAAAAAAAAAAGAAAACCACATCACTGAAGAGTTATAAAGTCAAAAGGAAAGAATATGGATGAGAGTCTGCAAATACAATAGGGATTAAAGCCAAGAACTTGGAAAAATCATCATCAACCTGAGGGACAATAAAGACAACTTGGCAAAAATCTAGAAAGAGACAGAGCTGAATTGATATTGAATACCAAACAGACAAATACCAAACAGATCAAAGGTTTAAATGAAAACCAAGAAATCATAAAACTAGACAAAACAAGCAGGGGGTGGGGGTGGCATTTTAAAAAAATTTTTTACTAAAATTCATAAATCATAAAATAAATGAACAATATATTTGATTATATTCATGGCAAAAGACTAATAACAAACTGTAATGCTCACAGAGGTCTAATTCCTGTAATAAAGATGTCCTATATTTTAAGGAAAATTAAAAAGACAAATTAGAAAAAACATAAAGCAATAATTCTCACAAATGACCCTTAAATTTATAAAAAGATATACTTCATTCTTATTCAATAAGAAAAAGAGAAACTGAAATTATTCAGAAATATCATTTTTTAACCCAATTAAAAAAAAAAAAAACCCTAAACTGTTTGGATTTCGAAAGCTCTGAAGAAACACATAGGTTCTGTCATAAATTCTGGGTGGGGTTTTGTTTGGTATAACTTCTATGAAAGGTAAACTGTAATATCTCAAAATTAAAATAATCTAGCTTTTGAGTCAATATCTCACTTCAAGGAATTTATCCTTGTAGATAAATGGGCACATATATGAAATGAAATGTACAGTGTTATTCACCACTGTATAGATTGTGAAGATAAGAAACGACYTATGTTGTCCTATGTGTCCATTAACGAGGAAGTGGTTAAACGAACTATATAGGATATTAAAAAATTGAAATATTACGCACTGGAAGAAAATGGCAGGGCTCAGGAGTGTAGCTTAGTGGTAGAGCTTGTACCTAGTATTCATGAGGCCCTGGGTATGATCCTCAGAGTTGCAAAAAAATAAAAACAAAAAAATTGGAAACTTCTCCAAGAGACAGTGCTTTTAAATAGTGAAAAAAGCAAGGTGCAGAGTGTATATCACATATTGATTTGATTTTCAAACTATGTGAATGTATTGTCAATTAAAAATTTAAAAATAGTACAGAGGCTGGGGAACAAGAATGGTCATGATCGGGGAGACTGAGCACTTCTCCATCTTCACACTTGGTGTTGGTTACACAACTGGATGTTTGTCAAGACACACCTCCACAGTAAAAAGGATGAATTTTAGTCTATGTAAATTATTTCTCAAAAGTATGACCCTCAAAAATAGCAGTTTTAAGTAATTGAAAATATAAAAGGAATCAATACTCTAGGACATAAGAAACTATGATAAAAACAGGCAGATTTGAAAAAGGATTAAATAGAACCTACAGAAATGCAGCTGATGAGATTTAAAACTGAACAGACAGTCAAACACATCAGATTATACAAAACTCAAAGAGAACTGGCAAAAGAAGATGTACCTGAGAAAATGATACAGCACAGGACAGAAAAAGAGGCAGAAAAGGAAAAGAGACATGAGCATAAGGTGAGAAGCTCTAACATGCCTCCTTGCAGAGCTCCAAAAAGTCAGAAGAGAGAAAAGTGATGACATCTGAAAACATAAGAGCTGAGAATTCTCTACAATTGGTAAAGGAAATGAGTTCCTAGACTTAGTTTAACAAAAAAAGGCAGACAAAAATAAAGAGTGAAAAGAAAGGCAAAGAAAAGCAAAGCAGAGAAAGGAAAAGCCAAGCCAAACAACAATGGGACAGTGTCTTCAATGTGCTAAAGCAACAGAACTGGTCAACTGAAAATTCTATACCCAGCTAATGCCTACCACTCACACATGAAAGAGGAACAACAACCTTTCAGCCAATGGAYGAGGGGGATGCACTATTAAAGGATGTACTACTAGAAAGAAACTGGATCTGCAGTCTGGGGTACAGCTCAATGGCAAAGTGCTTGTCTAGCACATACAAGGCTCTAGCACCATAACAAAAAAGGTATGGAAGGCCGGGTGCAGTGGTGCACACCTGTAATCCCAGTGGCTCGGGAGGCTGAGGTAGTCTCAGCAAAAGTGAGGCAACTCAGTGAGACCCTGTCTCTAAATAAAGTACAAAATAGGGTTGCGGATATGGCTCAATGGCCAAGTGCCCCTGAGTTCAATCCCTGGTACCTGCCCCCCCCCCAAAAAAAAGGTATGGAAAAGAGAAAATATATCAAAGTAGAAAAACAGCATAAGGAACCCCATTTCCTCCCACTCAGTTTCAACATATCAATTCATGGCCTATACTGTTTCATCTATATTCCCATTCACTCCTCCTGAATGTGTATTATTTTATATGAATCCTCGAACAGCATTTCATCTGTAAAATATAGAAGATTATTATTAACAAGTTTCGGGGCTGAGGTTGTGGCTCAGCAGTAGAACGCTTGCCTAGTACGTGTGAGGCCCTGGATTCGATCCTCGGCACCACATAAAAATAAATAAAATAAAGGTATTGTGTCCAACTACAAATAAAAAATAAATATTTTTTAAAAATAAAATAAAATTAATAAACAAGCTTAATCTAAAGACATCTGCGGAATACTTCGTGAATTAGAAATTGTACTTTCTTTTTCAATCACACACAGAACATTCATGAGTGACCAAACTGCAAAGCCAATTTTGACAATACCAAGACTCAAGATCAGAGTTACTCAACCTCTAAAGCAATGAAAGTAAAAATTAATAACAATCATAATTGAAACAAATACACAAGGGGACCTGAAAAATTTCCTAAGAATCTAAGATAGTCATTGTAAACTCATAGCTGTATATTTTTATCACTTAAGAAGCTTCTTAAAATATATATTCCAATGCCTCAATCCAGACTTACTGAATGGATGGGCCACCAAAGTGACATTTATAGGCTGGTTAGAACCTATCAAAACTGAGTCAACTTCTCCAGTCACAGAAAAGCAGCCACAACAAAGTGCTGCCAAGTCCAAACACACTTCAGTTATATTTCATGAAGACTTAGCTTTCTATAAGAATAGTCACAAAATAATATATYCATGAAAGTGTCTAACAAACTCTGATAAAAGTGCCATTGAGTAAATGCAAATGAATTTTACAATATGGTTTGAATCTCTTAACAGAAATTGTCAGGATGTTTATACTGGCATGTTTCTCACTTTTAAAAATGTAACTAGTTTCAGTTCTGCAAGATCACAGCAGTAATTAGTTATGCATATGTCCAACATCATTTTAAGACTTTCCTTAACTCTTTTACCACGTTAAACATCTGCATCTACATGTCAGCCCTACTGATTTACAGAAGACCACAACATCTGCCAGGGATAATTAAAACACCTTGGCAAATTCCAACATTTTCAACTGCCAATATATAAAATAACTGCCTCAGTTTCAGTGTCTATACTATGTGGGCAGATAATATATACTTCACAGGCTTAGATGGATTAAGTGAGAATTGAGTTAAATGAGGATAAAGCCCTTCTGGACAATGASCTGGGTATAGTCATTAACTGCTCTGACACTGCTCGCCACCAGGTCATTCCCCGAAATGTTCACATGGCTGTCACCCTCACTTGAAGATGAAATCCTTCTAGAACGGAGGTTAACCTGTTTGAAGTTTCCTGTTAGAAGCATAGCATGTTACCGACTCTCATAATGTTGGCTCCATCAGTGGTCTGACTTGGCAATGTCTACAAGTCTGAAGCAGAGCCAGGGAGAAAGCTTTCTAGATCTCATTTTTGTCCATCCCATCACACCAGCTTTCCATGCTTTTCTACAGTTTGTTTCCACACAGTAGAAACTCYGCCAAGTAACATCCCTCTTCTTTGCTTAGTCTCATTTTATAGGCCCTCTTTCAAAGTCTTAATAACTACCATGATTCTGCAGACAGGTGAAAATACAGCAAAGTCTTTTGATTTAATAGCTTACACAGTTTACAGTTATTTGGGGACATGATCCAATGGGCCACAATCTTTTGCTCAAACAGTGATTCAAAGGTATCACACGCATCACTGCCAGAAGGCTGATACGTGCAAGGAGAGGGACTGAAAGGTACTCTGCCAGTGTGTGGGTAACATATTAGAAAACACACCTGTCATCTCCTTAACAGCTGAGTCAATGGACAGAAATCACAAGATGACCTAAACCTCTCTAAAAAGATTACATGTCTTTGACAAGGAAATCTCTGAAGAAATTTTTTACTAAATCAGGCTTTTGTTTTCTTGTCACTTAAGTTCATGTCGCCTTTAAGATTTAACGAATGTTAGGCATTTTTCAAAAGACGATATACAAATGGCCAATAGATAATATAAAAAATAAAATGCTTAACATCACAAATCATTAGTTATGCAAATTAAAGCCACAATGAGATATCACCTCATTTCTGTCAGAATGGCAAGTATCAAAGGCAGCAAGCGCTRGCAAGGACTTAGAGAAAAGGGAACCCCTGTGCACTGTTGGTGGGAAGGTAGATTAGTACAGCCATTATGGAAACAGTATAGAGGTTTCTCAAAAAATTAAAACTAGAACTCCCATACCATCTAGCACCCCACTCCTGGGTACATATCCAAAGGAAATGAAGTCAGTATGCCAAGGAGACATTAGCACTCCATGTTCACTGCAGGGCTATTCACAATAGCCAAGAAATGGAAGCAACYCAAGTGTTCATCAACCCATGAGTCAATAAAGAAAATATGATACACAATGAAATACTAATCAGCCACAAAAGGATATGAAAGCTTATTATCTATGATAACATGGAAGGATATGAAGAGCCTCAYATGTTAAGTGAAATAAGCCAAGCACAGAAAGATAAGGACCACATGACTTAACCTATGTGAATCTATGACTTCCCTCATATGCGGTGCTTACCCTGATTTATATACCACACAACGTAAACAGGTATCAAAATACCACACAATGCCCTATGCACATGCGTAATTTTTATGTTTCTATATAGCAGCTAAAAATACTAATTTAAATTTAAGAAATTTTAAATTGATTAAGGGWAAAAGACTTTCAAATGTAAACTTAACCTCATTTTTAGTCTAAAAAGAAAAGTGATTCAAATCATGCAAAGGCTCTTGCAGTTGGTTAAAAATAATTACCAAAATATCTAATAAAAAATTCCTGGCCTTTTAAGTATACAAAATGAACTATTTTAAGTAGGTCCCACACCTCTGACCAAAATATAAAGTAGGGTAAGGTGGACATTACCCCTGTTTGATTAATAATCCCTAAACCTATAGCACATAATAAAGACATTATGTCTCCTCATGTTAAGTATATCTTCAGGGAAAATTAGGGACCATTGTGAATTTCTCACACCTTAGCTGGTTTGGGAATGCATTTTTTGAGTAGTAGACCCTTAAATAATAAAAGATGTGTACTGGCTTGCTTATAAGACCAGTCCTCATTTTAAACACATCAAATATATCATGTACTTACCCTACTGTCTCTGTATATGTCAAAAACAACTGGAAAGGAGAAAAAAACTCAGTTATTAATGAATTAGTATTTTCATGATTTAAGCCTCAAGTGCATTTTGTTACTAAAAACAGAATGGACCTTGAGTATTTAGTGCTTCTAAATCTCAAAACATCAAATATAAAAAGGTACTCTTGCAGTGTTTTTTTAATAAGTATTTATATAATATTCTCTATCCCCAACTATAAAAACCCCTTATATTTAAAAAGTCAAACCAAACACCAATATCAAGTCAAGTAGTTCACCACTGTATAACTTATCATATAGGAATAAGGAAAGTTGTCAACAAGAAAAGTACTCATGAAAGGAGAATCTGTCATTTATTTGAGATATTAAATGAGTAAAATTTATCATACAAAAGCATAAAATCTAATTATGCTAATGGCATGATACATCTTTTTGAAAATAAGTCTGCCACAGAACCCAGTCTTGACAAGGAGGAAAAAAAGTAAAGCATAGTAGATATAAATTTTAAAATGCTTGGAAATTCTCTTACAGTGTACTTTCAATATCCAAAAAACAACCCACAAATGTTTACTTCATAATTGGTGCTATCTCTGATAATTAAAACACAGAATTTAGTTTCTAAAGATGGACTCTATGAAATATAGGTCTGGTTTCTGTAGATGGACCCTATGAAATATTTGAACATCTAAAATGACAGGAGAGAGAATGGTTTTGGTATTAGAAATGAATTTTAATTAAATAAGGTGAAAATTAACATGCAAACCATGAGAAATATCAACTAGTAATATAGTAAATTTTTTTTTTTCTTTTTCTTTTTCAGTGCTGAGAACTGAAGCCAGGGCCTATAGCAGGCTGGGCAAGTGCTCTATCATCAAGCTTCACTCCCAGTCCTCATACAATAGTCCCATTGTTTAAAATATACACCTTGGTGAAATAAAGTCCAGTAATAATATGTACTTTATTTCATTTCATTGTGTAAATTTAAAAATACTCACAATCTTCATCTAAGAATTTATACTGTATGTGTTTCTTGAAAAAGTCTTGAATGCATCTGCAAATTTCTTCCTTTTGTTTGGAAATATGATCATAGTATTGTGTGTAGTCCCTCTGAGAAATACCTGACAAGAAAATATTTTATATTGTTATTATACAATATTCTTAAAAAAATACAAGATGTGATTTAAACTTTTTTGAGACAATCATTAAAGTAGGTCAGAAGTTCAATCAGATGAATATTGCATTAAACATTATTCAGTTGTCAATATTACACATAGAGAGGAATCCTACAGTTCAATATTGCCACACATTCTTACTTCTGGAAATATTTTTTTGAGCACAACATAAAGAATTTAGACACAAAATGGCTTACTAAGAGAAAATTTAAAGTAGCTATTTAAGCCTGCATACATTCAACTGATTTTATTTTTTTCCAAGAAAGTTTCCACAAATTAGTTCTCTTCCACTTTTTTGGTGAAAATTTAAAATATCCTTCACCATAAGTCTGCAATATTCATTTTATTTCACAGAAACAATCTACTTTTCTTGTTTATACATGCTATTCAGCCTTCACAACACTGGTCTTTCAAGCTACGGAAAAGTAAATATTCCCCTTTTGCAAAGTGCCTTTGCTGATATGATTCCAAATACACTTGAAGGACTACTATATGAATTCCTGCAATACGCTTAAGTCCTAGGGAAAGGTGTCTGCTCTGAAATAAGGGCTTCCAGTTCCTTCATCACATGCCAATATGACTCTTGTCTTTAGCACATTTATTCTCTAGTTTTTCCAGGAATATTTAACAACATGATAAATTTGAACATAGCCCCAAGTCTCCTTCAGCTATGTTAATAAGCATCAATATCATATTTAATGAATATGATTGATTTGATTTGATTCAATTACACTTCTCTTGGTTGATCATATGTTTTACTTCACAGGAAACATGCATAACAATCTTCAATATTTAACTTGAATAAATCATAACAAACATAAAAAATAACCTGAAAGAAAAGAATATGGGTGACTTTKAGAATAACTTCTTTGTTTTCCCACATATTTTCTTTTGCTGGAATAATAAACAGTGTCCCAATAATAAAAATAAAGGTTCAAAAACTCAGTTTTTTGTGATGCTTTCTAATAAGCTATTGTTAGTAATACTTTGGAAAGTTTCAAACAGAAAGAAGGTAACATTATACAATGTCAAATTGGAAATCATAATAACCACCACTTTCATCTCTGGAATCCAGACAGACATCATTAATCAACAATACTACCTTTTTCTGTGGAAACTGATTATGGGCTCAGGATCCTTGTCAGCATAGCATTCCAGAGAGTCAGTACCAATTGGGTAGAGGTGGCATCTGAAATTAAAACTGATTGATAACCCTGTCGTAATTACTAGAAATTTATTTCCATCAAAAGTTTGTCTTCGGGCTGGGGTTGTAGCTCAGTGGTAGAGCACTTGCCTAGCACAAGTGAGTCACTGGGGTTTGAGCCTCAGCACCACATAAAAATAAATAAATAAAACAAAGGTATTGTGCCCATCTATAACTAAAATTTTTTTTWAAAAAACTTGTCTTTTCCTTGATTTTATTTTTTGTTTTTAGTTGATACATAATAATTGTATTCTTTGAAGTACAATGTGATGTTTTAAGACGTATATACAATGTCTAATAATCAAATTAATATATTTACACTATGCAATACTATTCAGCCATAAAAATAAATACTGATATTTATGGCAACATGGTTTTCTTCTTTTAAAAAATACTTTCAAAGGTAGAAAGAACTCACCAATAAGCTTGTTTTCCTTGACAAAACATCGGAACTCAGCCCCAGGAATTAATTCACACCATTTTCGGAGAACAAGCTATACACAAAGGAAAAAATGTAACACAACTATGCAAGGTATAAGACAATTTCCTAATAAGACTATCCCTAATAGCTGCTATTAAAAAATGATTTTAAAAGTGGGAGAGAGCAGTACCATAGACAAGCTTGACATGAGGGCAAGGGCTATAATCTATCATTCCAATAAGAAAGGGAAATTATGCTGAAACTCTTCAGGACAAGATCCATCTTTGTCACATATTTCTGAGAGTTCTGACATAATACACAACTGCAAGGATAACCAAGTCAAATCGTATTGTCACTGTGCTATAAGTTGCCCYGTAATTTACATGTTCTCCATCCCTGTAGGAATATTAAAATAATTTCAGGGCTGGGAGGAAGGAGGTGCTTGCCTAGAGTAAACATTATAGGTATAGGTGAATTCTAAAGTTTCATATTGTCTTACCTCTGAAAATTGTTATTTTTATTTAGCACAAGGAAAGAATTTAATCATAAAAAGGCTTGTTATGGCTGGGATTGTTAGCACATTCTTTTCCACTAACGTGCAAGCTCCCTAAGAGTGAGAAAGCAGGTTTACTCATCTTTCTGTATATAATACTTAGCAGGTGCATGAGAAATTTGTTTGCCAAGTAAAACAGCAAATGTATAAGATAAGCAGCCACTAAAAATCATGTTATATGAAAATTAATGACCTGGGAAAATGCTCACACTATAAGTTCAAAGAAAGTTAACATATAATGCAAAATATTTATAAAGAGAATACACATACACCCTCAAGAAAGGTGATGATGGTATAATTCCCAAAAAGCAATAAAAGAACAAATCACTGGTAAATATATCTTGGGGATAAATGATAATGTCTCAACAAAGATTATTCCTCAGGGAAAGGCTAAAAATAAAAAATAAAATTTCCTCATTTTTTTWATTCCCAGCACAAAGTAATAAGACAGTAACAGGTACTTCATAAACAGATGTTTGTTCAATAAAATAGCAGATATGAATATATTACATAAATACAAATAATATTGTAAAAGACTGTGTAATAACATGGGAAACACTCTCATAAGGTATAAGGTGAAAAAAACTTGCACAAGTAGTGTGTAAAGATCTCAATTAGAGTGCACTAAGAAACAGAATAAAAATATTCAATACAGTGACAGACTTTTTTTTACATGTGTGTGGTTCTAGAAATGGAACCCAAGATCTCCCGCATGCTAGGCAAGTGCTCTTCCACTAAATTATATCCCCATCCCAGTAGGCAATTTTGAGAGCATGCATGTATACAAGTATTCAGAAGCAAAAGACAATGAAGAAAAGTTTTAAAAATCACCATACTAATTCTAATTGGTATTATAAAGCCAAATAAAAGTGTGTAGCAATTATGTAGCCAAGATAACCATTGTCTCTCCAACAAATTTTTCTCTAAGTATTATATTCTGCAATGCAAATACAAGAATAACCAGAAGTGATGGTGAGAGTCTACCAGGGATGGAAAACATTAAAAAAAAAAAGTGTGGAGGGGTAGTTTTCCAGATTCACCCATGACTCTCAATGAGTTATTAGCTGCACTGAAGAACATGGCCCATTCCAGAGTTGTCTGTGCATGTGTACACTTTGAAAACTAGGAAACCATGGAATAAAAATTGAAGTTTGCTATGCTTAACATCATGAAAATAGCTAATAAGAGTTGTCTTATTCACTATTCTTTCACTCTTACTTCAAAATTATTTCTAAGATTTGAGTGAACAATATTTTAAAAGTGTGTATAAGAAAAACTTATTTTTCCTGGCATATCAGGTTTAAAAACTTAACCAGGTTCATCTGAGTGGAAAGTATAAATTCTATAAGTTTATATTTGGTATATATATTTTTTCTATCAATAATACATATTCTTTTATATGTATCCTACATTTCATAAATTTAAAAAATTCAGGGGTTCTTGGTTTTTCCTATAGAAATCAATCCAAAAAATTCCATTCATTTAAGTAGAAATTTTCAATACATCTTCATTTAGGATCWTCAATGTCATCAAGGCAAAAACAAAGCTTCTTACCCCATATTCCATACAAGGATCTGGAGAATCATCAGTACAATGAATAAATCTTTGGAAAGAAAAACAGCAATTGAATTTTTTAAAAAAGTTTACATACATAYGTTACTTATATTTAACATGAGAGTAGGATTTTATTAAAGGCAACCAGAAATAAGAGACAAATTCAAATCCAATGAACTTGTTTTATGTATTATTTGATGCTATGCATTAGACTAAGCACCCTAAAGAAGTTATCTCATTTACCCTCAAAACATTATGAGCTCTTATAATCATTATAAAATATACAAATAGTATAATACAAAATATACAAATAGATAATATAGTATAATCTCCAATTTTCTATCAAAAGGCAAAGAAACTAAGAAGCAAAAAAAATTCCAAATTTAGTGACCAAGTTGGGTCTATAATTCAAGTGGCCTAACTCCAGATTCTCAATAAATGCAGGATGGCGCTGCCATTTTACACATTCTCATTCATTTCATCTCTGGCTGTGCCAGCAGACAGTTTACTATACATTGCTATTAATGTTACTTCTGCCRTCTAAAGCTACATAAAGGTAATCTATTCCTTCTCCCACTTATCATTTTAAAAAATACTTGATGGGACTATTCAGTCCTCCATTAAGCTTCCATCTCTAAAAACTCTTGTGTCATGAACAATATCCATACCTTTATTAAACATCTATCTATGCTAAAGGCAATTAGGCCCCAGGAATGCTAAAATGAGTAATATGCCTTTGCCCTTTATGAGGTTAGTCCTAAAGGAGAAAGGACTAACAAGTAGACAAACAATTTCAAAACACTGGGGAATAAAATACTCCGATAGCAAAAAGGAAGAAGTAATTGGTTATCTGCTGTGCGGGGAGTGAGATAAGGTAGTCAAGAAGAGGTCCACATTTAAGGCACAGAGAAATGTGTTAATATAGGGAGGGAAGTAAGAAATGTCACCTAGTATTCAAAGAACTGCAGGACATCTGTACTCGTGGGGTGTAGCATACAAGAGGGAAATTGAAGAATGATGGAGTTGGATAGAAATTTTGTACAGGAGAAGTACAGACCAATACAGTTCACCAGCCTAGGGACAAAAGGAGACCACAAAGCCTAAATATCCAAGGGAGATAGAACATTACCTTCATGCATTAAGAATGTCACTGTGGTGAAATATTGGATAGTTTTGGGAAAGGGTAGCAATGTGAGGCAAAGAGAACAGTGGGAAGGCTTGTTGCAAGAGTCCTGGTAAGAGATGGGGACTCATGAAGGCAATGCTGGAGTGGAGAAGGAGAGGCATTACTATATAAAGATATCAGGCCAATTAATATAACTTGATGTATGACTGAAAGGAAGGGAGAAGCTTTTTAATTTCCCTGAATACATGATTAAGTGGGAATACTCTGTAATCATTATGCTTTATACTACAAACAATAACAAGTTTATTTGATTGGCTGAAATCCTGAGAACAGAGCTTCTTATACCACTAATAATTGGGCACTGACTTATAAAACATATATTGCTAAAAAGATACATGTAGTGTGTTTTGTTAAAATGCCGGTAGGTTTTCTCTATTAGTGGGCTTGATGCACTGAACAATTAATGAACAGGCACAACATGAATCTTTTTTTATTTGCTTTCTCATTTCATTCTTCCAATAACCCTACGAGGACATGAATGTTATCTCTATCTACAGTTATCACACAAGGATACCAAGATTCAGAAAGGTACAATAACAAGGAAGTGGGGAAGAGAGAGAGCACTAAATCATAGACTGCAAGCTATACTGTTTCTCTCAAGGATAAAGATTCTATTAAAACTCTAAAATTAAGGGGGGAAAAAGGCAGAACAAAACAAAAGCAACGCAAATCCTAGTGGAACTTTAGGCTTAACCAGTATCAATACTAAAAAAAAAACACACATGGGGTGGGGGTTGYGGCTCAGCGGTAGAGCGCTCGCCTAGCACATGAGAGGYCTTGGGTTTGATCCTCAGCACAACATAAAAATAAATAAAATAAAAGCATTAAAAGAAAACAAAACAAAAACATACTGCTCACCAAATCCTAATTCCATAATATAAAATGGATCTTCTAAAATACCAACGTATTAACTTTCTGTTTTTATACATTCAAACACATGCTGGTGCTATATTTATTTATTTATTTATTTATTTATTTATTTTTGAGAGAGAGAATTTTTTAATATTTATTTTTAGTTTTCGGCAAACACAACATCTTTGTTTGTATGTGGTGCTGAGGATCGAACCTGGGCCGYAYGCAYGCCAGGCGAGCGCACTACGCTTGAGCCACATCCCCTGCCCCATGCTGGTGCTATTTTAAAACCTAATTTTTCTCTGAAAAGCAAAACTCCCTTGTTTCAAAGCAAACTAATATAAAGGTAAGCTACCCAGAGGAGTTAAACCCTATAACTAGAAAACTAGCTTTCAATATATTTAAAATTTGTTAAGTAAAAATTAATCTCATGTTGTTTCATGTTAATCAATTCTTATATTAAGGTCATAAACTGTCAGATTAATAAAACTAACACAATTATTTTATCCTTAAGGAAATCCACCCTTTCTCCCCAAGATCAGCAGAACGACAAGCATTAAGAATGTTTATAGGGGCTGGAGTTGTACAGCAGTAGAGCCCTCGCCTAGCACGTGCGAGGCCCTGGGTTCGATCCTTGACACCACATAAAAATAAATAAATAAAAGCATTGTGTCCTACTACAACTAAAAAATAAATATATAAMAAAAGAATGTTTACAGAACTCTATGCTGTAACATTTTCTGTCATTTAAGAAAATTATGTTTGCGCACATAGCCACTATGAAAACAAGTAAAATATTCTGGATTAGATAAACTACATCACGAAGAAAATTAAAACATTCCAAGAAAACACTGGCCAAGAAATATCAAAAAATCAAAATCAAGAATTTGGGGGCTGGGGATGTGGCTCAAGCAGTAGTGCACTTGCCTGGCATGCGTGCGGCCCGGGTTTGATCCTCAGCGCCACATACAAAGGTGTTGTGTCCGCCGAAAACTAAAAAATAAATATTAAAAAATTCTCTCTCTCTCTCTCTCTCTCTTAAAAAAAAAAAAAAAATCAAGAATTTGGGCTCCGTACTAGCATACAGGCTGAGCATCCCTAATCAAAGAAGCAGAAATCTGAAATGCTCCAAACTCCGAAACTGTATGAAAACCAACATGACATCACAAGTGGAAAGGTCACACCTCACTTCATGTGACAGGTCACAATCAAAACACCAGCATACTAAAAATATTGTACAGAATCACCTTCCATCTGTGTATATAAGGTGTTTATGAAGCATAAATGAATTCAGTGTTTAAAAGTGGGTTCCATCCCTGAGGTCTTTGTATTTGCAAATATTCCAAAAAATCTAAAACACTTCTGGTCCCAAGCATTTCAGATAAGACCAATCTGTAGGCTTACAGAAAAGTCAATTAATTAACTTCTCTGRATGGCTCTTGGTGCCTTAACAGAAAATGAGAGATGGAATTAGGTGATTACTAAAGTTCTTTTGCAGAGAATTCATCAGGCCTCCTCTTCTTCGCTGCCTTTGTAGTTGGTTAACTATTTAGTACATACTCAATTTTTTTAAATTCAAAGAGAAAATGTGTTAAAAATTCACATAGTATTTTATTAGGGACAAAAAAATTGTGTGGTAAAAGAATTATCTATAAAAGAAAAAATGTTTTTATAATACTTTTATAAATGCTTTTTCTTTTCTTTTTGTTTGGTGCTGGGAATTGAACCAAGGGCTTTTTGCATGTAAAATATGAGCTCTACCACTAAGCTATAACCCCAGCCCCATGAAGCCAATTAAAGTTTACTTTAAAACTTAATATTACAGTTTCTAACCAACCATTAGTTCATTATCAAGATAAAACTAAACTAATTGTCTATATTTTTCTCCATTTAAATGTATCTAAAAGATACAAAGAAGAGAAAAACAACTAAGGAATTAGCTTAGGCAAAATAATATGACATTGTTTTAATAGTTAATGTAGTAACAGAACTCCTACCATATTAAAGTTTTGAAATGTGATTTTAATCAGCTGGGTGCCATATTTTTATAAATCTGATGAATGAGAATAATTTCTTTGTTCTATAAAGAAAAAGGTTTTAAAAAACAAGGTAGATTAGAACCTTAAGGCAAAAAAACTAAAAGAAACAATTCCAAGACATGGGTCTTCATTATCTAATTTTTAAAAATGCTTTTACATTCCTACAAATATTGATTTCAATCCTTGGTTAATCCTCATACTGCTACTTAAAAATAAATATATATTTTATGGACTGAGAATGTAGTTCAGTGGTAGAGCTCTTGCCTAATACAAATGAAGCCCTGGGTTCAATCCCCAGCACCTGCAAAAAAAAGTATATATTTTAATGAATACACATTTGCATTCTATCATCCTATAACATCACTTTAAAAGGTCAGTTGGTTTAACATTTGTTATTTTAAAAACTTGACTAGTATTAGAAGGCAGAAAATATGTGGTATAGAAGAGATTATTACACAAGGCCTTATTAAGATGATTAGCCAGATGGCCAAGTATCCTTCCTGAAAGGAGAGGAAAGTGCTGATTCATCTAGCTAAGAGTGAATAGAAAGGTCAGCAAGAACATTTTCAGAAGCTCAACTGAAATACTACAAATGGCTGCACGTGAATATTTCAATTCTATTTACATTCTTGGGGAGGTGGGTTTGCTTTTAAAAAAAAAAAAATCCACTTCTAAAAATGTTCTCCTCCATTGGTTAGTAGTATACAAATTAGTATACTAATTTGGAAGATTTCTTTAATTGAAAATTTCAAAATGACAWCAACAAAAAGTAGTGTAAAACCAAAGTCATTAATTTATAGTCTACATCAAAAGGACACTCCAACGTTTAATTCTAAATGCCTAATTCTAGGGGCTGTGGATGTGGCTCAAGCGGTAGCGCGCTCGCCTGGCATGCATGCGGCCCGGGTTCGATCCTCAGCACCACATA